ACTTGTAGTGAATCAGCTGATTTCAGTTTTCCTGTATTCTCTAAAATTAAAACAATGATTAGAAGTAAATTATGTTCGAACAACTTAAACGAAGGTACAGTATATATATACAGGGTGTTTCATAGATCATGGAGCAAACTTGGAGGGGTGATGCATTTTTTGTATATGGATGTAGGGTCTAAAGTGACGGGTTAAGGCAGGAGCGCAAAAAAAACGACACGAGAGGAAAATAACGTATCGTGCGTATGTATATATTAAAGAGCAAACTAATACTGTAAATCGCTAGACTTAGGATCAGTTTACAAATCTCTTGATTCTTATTCTTGATCAAGAAATGAGGCAAATTTTGATAATTCTACAAAGGAATGTTTCAAACTAAAATTTCCAGCAAATAAAAGTAATTTCGTTCGTGATAGTAATCTAGTGATGAAATAATTGTTTTTACTTTCATTCGGAAGATGTTGTTTTATTTTTTATAAGTGCCACCCAGACGGCATAATGGTTAGGGGAGCCTGATTGCAATATCGAAAAGCATGGGTTCGAATCCCGGAGAAGGCATTGGATGTAAAATTGTCTGTCCCTTCATAGGATGGTAGCGGTAGCCGCATGTTAGGTGACTTCACAATACCACCACTTCTGACCTTAATAGTGGTAAGTGCCCGAAATTGGGGGAGGAAAAAAAAATTATGAGTTATTCTTGAACTCTGGGTTTTAAAATTGGTAATAGTTCATTTCATCAATCTTTTGGTAGATAGCACAACGTTTTGAAATCAATGCAGTTTCATATAAACCCTTTCCAAGGGAAGGTTACGATATTTATTAGGTTTTGACGCAAGAACAAGTGACTGCCAATCAACAACACCATGTTTTCGACCTGCCGTTTTCATTAATGTAAACTTTTATCGTTCCTAAAGACGTCATTACCCCCAAAATATAATCTTCTTTCTAAATATATCAGTTCTCGAAATTAGATAATGTTTGTCACGATTTCTGAGGTGGTGACAACATAATAATTTAGACCCTAAGATTTTATTTGTTGTTTGGACCTCTTACGAGAATATTCAACTGTTCTGTGATTTATCATATCATAAAAAACCTTGAGATAAAACTATGTACTCTCCTCTATACACAATAATATACTTTGCATAAATAAATCCGGTAAATAATGAGTTCATTTTATTCTCTTTGCTTAACCAAATGAAGCACTCAGAGCCCTATGTTTAACGCTATAAATTAAGCTACAAAGATTTGCTTTTAAACCATATTATTAATCTTCTGTCTCTACATTGCATCTTATCACGGTTAATATGCACTCAGACAAAAGAAAATGGGATCCTGTTCAGGTACGCCGATTGACGAAATTCTACTTGAGTTTTTCATGTTCCGAAAGCGCCAATATATATAGCAAAACTTATATATAGCAATTTTCTAACATAGGTATTTTGGCATAAAATTAGACTTTTTCTGAAATATCGTAATGATTTTTTTTCCCCGTATTTCGATCCTGTGTCTCAAATTATACCAATCTGCCAAGTTTCGTAAAAATCGTCCGAATAGTTTTTAAAAAATTAGGTCTCAGAATTTTAGTTCCTGAATGTTAATTCAATTTGATGTATATTCATTCATACAATATCTTTTTTTTAAAATTAAATTTACTTAATTCCTTATTCCCGAATTCGAGATTTAAGTTCAATCCCAAAAAATGGCCCACTTTTTATGATTTATTTTTTAAATTTGTACTTATAAATAATTTTTAGAAGTTTTTCGAAAAATGTCTTGAATCATAAACCATAAAAGTTTTTCCATAATCTTAAAGTAGAAGCATTTCTTCCCATACCTGCAAAAAAAAAAAAAAAAAAAAAAAAAAAAAAAAAATTAAGAGTTTTTTTATTGAAAATTTACCAAGCTATACATGAGTTTATATACACTGCTGGCCATTAAATCTGCAACATCATGAAGGAAAGCCAATACAAGAAAGATATTTATTGCACTTAAACAATATGGCATGAACACAAAATGATTAAATTTGTAAGCATTTTGGAGGTTGACAGGGGTGTGAAATTAATGAAAACAGCTGGCAGCTAAAACAGCCCTTACCCCATTAGGAATGGAGTCAACTGAGCTTGGATGACAAAAATGGGCAGCTCATTCCATGTTCAAGTCGTCTATGACACACTTCATTAGCCGAATATTAGCCGTATTAGCTGCAGAGGGGCGAAGGGCCAATCTCTTAGCAACCCACGACCAGATGTTTTCATTGAGTGACAGATCTGGAGACCGTGCCGGCCAGGGCAGCAATCGAATACCCTATGTATCGAAAAAGATCAGAACACGACGTGCAACATGTGGTCTTGCATTATCTTGTTGGAACATGGCGTTTTGAGGCCTCGAAAATAGGGCAAAACCACTGGACGTAAGATGTCCGAAATGTACCCACCTACGTTCAAATTATTGTCGATGCGAATTAGAGAGGTGCGCGTCGTGTATCCAATGGCTGCCCAAACCAACACTACAGGTGCAGGGCCCCTATGCGATATCGAATGCAAGCAGACGATGTGCGGTCTGCTCGGATACTCCAGGCACGTATACGGCCATCAGAATTATGTACGTAGAACCGGGACTCGTTTGAAAAGACGACATTGGGCCATTCCTGTAACCAGCTTTATCGTTTGGCGCACCAGAGTCGCTGTCTCTCTCTATGTTGCATTGTAAAGGAAAGCCGAAGTAATGTGAACCCTACTGATAGTCCACGCTGCGCACCTTACGAGTTCATACTAGGCGTTCTGGAAACATGCCCATTTCCTGACTAATGGTACGTGATGTGGTCTACGGTTTTGCAGGGCTGACCTTATCTTATAATATGTCTGTCCTCTCTAGCGTTAGTGATGGGAGGACGTTGACATCCTGCATGCCGTTCAGTATGACCCTCAGCAATCTATTGATTTCATATTCGCATGACAGTGTTTGGATGTCGACCAGTGGGATCAGCGATATCACGGAATGATAATCTACATTTTCGATAGACAACGATCTTGCCTCTAACGAATTCGAAACTTGCTGGTAAGCACTTCTTCTTCTTCTTCTTCGAGGCATAACACCATATTCTGAGCAAACTCCAACCTTTCAAAGCACTTTCCGTACAAGAAATCCACTACACAACATTTTTTTATGCAGTGCTTCAGATGTCGTTTCTCCCTCCTGCGTCGTCTAAATGCGCTGAAATACTAATTATTTGCATATTCCAACTTCTTCCTTTCATGTGATTTTGACGTTCGAATTTTGGCGTTCAAATTTTAAGAGAAAGGTATGCCGGAAAAGTCAAAATACAGGGGTACGTGCATTGAGTAAATGGTTATCTTGGTAATTTTTATTGAAACTGAATAAATGTAAATTGACCACTATGTTAGCTGTAATGGTAATTCCAACCTCGTATTGTTTTCCAGAAATTTCGAGAAGCAGAAAGTACTAGCAATATCTCGCGGTCTGTTGAAAACTACTTAAGACCGAAGAGAGAGCACCTGCTCTCAGTTGCTCAGTTATTGTTGTTGCGAGTTGTTTATTTCCGCATGAACTGAGATATCCGAGTTAGCGTTAGCTTTCTCTTTAGATGCGCTTTGAATTGCGTTGTACTTAACACTTTAAGTAATTTGAAGTATAATTACTGATTATACTGCGTGATATTATGAACACATGTACGAATATCTCTGAGGAAAATTCTTCAAATCTGATATATTTCTTTTAATAAGAATAAATTTTATTAACCTATTATCGGATTTGTGCATTCAGTCTATTGCGAACCCGCACGCAATATATCATTATTTAGAGAATTATTTTACAGTTTTTGCTGTGGGGAAAGAAAGCTAATAGTTTTGCAACTGTTTGGCTTCTTTGCCATTAACGTCTCCTCTCTATCTCTAGAATGCGGAAAAAATAGTCTTCCTTTTCTTTAAAAAAAATAGTCTTCCTTTTCTTTCAAAGTGCGTCAGAGCTCTTAAGGGGTGTTGGAACCCCAAAATCTTCAAAAAATTGTGATTTCGGATTTTTGCATTTTCAAATTCTCTACACTTTTATCTTTCTAAAAATACCATTCTTTAATCTCTATGAAAATTAGAACTGTAAAAAATCTAGCTTTAATTTGTCGTCGACTGCTTTAATCAATGAGGAGTTTTACATAAAAATGCGTTTTTCTCCAAACGTGATTTTTTTATACTCGATGTACCTTTTCTCAGGAACTACTGCTTACAGGTATCTAAAAATTTTCTGTCTTATTTATTAGGTTTACTAATATTTGCGGAAATGAGTTTTTTGTGATAAACTTAGAAAAAATTTAAAAACTTTTTTTTGTGTGAGAAAAGTGCTAAATTTAGCTACGCCTAACAACATATTCTGTAAGTTACTCTAAAATTCAAAATGTTTCAAAAGCTCATTTCAGTATAATCAGATAGGTATACTTTAATTACACAAAAAATTTCAAGCCTGTATCTACAGCAGAGTTTGAGAAAAGGTATATCGAAAATGGTCAATTCAACGTTGTCGGTATAGGGGGTGCTGATTTAAATCCCACCATTTTATTAATTTAAATTTATCTCGCCATGTGGTTTCCTCTGCATTTACCCAGAAAGTGAAAGCTAACAGCAATATTTTTTGAGATATTGCCAAACGACATGACTTTTTTCGATGGTCTGCATTATTAAATTATAGTTTGTTGATAAAAGTTTCATAATGAATGAAGTGAAATTGAGCAAGAAAGCTGCGTTTCTGGACTCACTATAAAACATTTTCCCTTTTTTTAATTCATTTTTCTTCTTTCCTTTTCCTTCTGTTCTCACCCTGACAGAAGATGAGTAGACGAATTGAGCAACATATGTTTTTCGCATTTTCTCTCAAAGGTGTCCAAGATGGACTGTTGAAAAGGCGATACGAAAGTGACGTCAGTGATCGTAAGCGAACATCACGAGGTTAGAATATAAACAAAGCAGAAATATGTAATCTAGGACCATCAGTATCGCAGAGAACGTCTTAAGAGTAGACAGCACTGAACATCTAAGCTTCAGAAAGGGGTTTTATCTGAAACATTTTCCCCAATGTGACTTTGTTAGAGTGAATGAGAACTCAGTCAAAGAGAGAGTGATTGAGAATTCAGTGGAAGAGAAATAAGATACTACTCCAACTAAAATACGTATTTTAATAGTGAAGGTTATAAAGAATTAATTACAGAGAAAAAAGTACCATCTTCAAGTTTATATTTACAGTTTATTTGGGTAAGTACTTAGGTTCTCACTATAAAATATTGCTCTTTTTATACGCTGAAACACGAATATCAATTGGATATCAGTGATCTGATATTTCTCGATGAACGTCCATTACTAAAAAAAGTTACAGCCCAACTCATAACGTTTTCTATCAGAGCAAAAATAGCTCAAGAATAAACGGGAAAGTTCTGAATGACGTTTCTCAAGACTAATAGTTTGACCACGGTTTAAATCTCGTTTTTATGGTTTATGTGGTTTCCCAAACGTGAAGCGTAAATATAAAACAGTTTCCCTCAAAATGTCCTCCATAAAGGCATCCCTTCCTTCACAAAAACCTCTCGAATGATCTGCGTTACTTAAATCAGCCAACTTACCTCAAATTGTATTTTTCATGCACTCACTGTTAGACGATAAACGAATGAGTACAGAGTACTGTCTATCTGTACAGTGACGAGCCGATAGGCGTACGTAGAAGAGACAAGATAGACCATAGCGGTGACCACCGCCGTGATACATATATGTGATATGCGATTTATTTGAATTGTATGTGCATAGGAAATGGCTCTTGATTCAAATGCTTGTGTAGTCTCTGCTCTAAATTTAAGCGATGGAATCTAATACTATGAATTTATGTACATAGTAAACTGTACACGTAATATAAAATTTAGAAGCTTCATGACATATTTATAAACTTAATTTCTTTCATTTTAATTCATAGCAAAGTATTTCTGAAATATAAAATCTATGGCAGTCATGTAATGGAGTAACAGTGTCTGTGTGAAGCACCTAAGGTAAACAATTAATGCCATTTCCCATCGGTATTTGTAAGTAAATCTGCATCTATATTTATGTATATAAGGTATTTCTCCCACCTACTTGGCGTGCCTTCGTGGTGTAGTGGTTCTGCACGCTGGGCCGGTATTCCAGAGCTCCGTGGTTCGATTCCCGGCGAAGGCGATTGCTTATTTTTCATCCTGCCTGCTTCCAAAAAATACCTAATGTCTCTCCAAGCATATAATTGAAAAAGAAAATTATACTGCATATATGTACGTACAAAAATTTCTGCAGTATAATGTCAAATATATATATATATATATAATAAGTAATATAATAAGTAATATGTAAAAATATGTGTAAAAATCAAATGTCATTAATTTGGTACATTAATATTTTTTAATTTAATATCACAGAACATAGTCAAAGAAAACCCTATACTGGTTTAAGATTAGTTTTAAAAAAAGTCTGAAGGGTTTCAAATTTTAACGGATTGTTGCCATTCGGGAAAATGTAAGATATTTATCTCTCAATTTTTGTTAACTTGTACGAAAGCAAGTGTTACTTGCGGCCGGAAATAATATACTTTTATTTTCTGAATGCCAGTTTTTTGCCGTTCAGTAAAGCCTAAGATACTTTTTAATTTAATTTGTAAGGTCTGAGTAATAAACTGATCGATTTAAAAGTACTAACACAGTTCTTAAGCAGCACTTAATATTTTTTTTTTCTACTTTTTAATGTGATTGGTTTAAATAAAGATGCTTTAAAATCATGAAGGGTTTAAGAAGTAATATTCAATACTTTTATGAAATTACACTAGCTAGACTTACGCCGCGAAAGTGCGAAGAATGTGATATTTAATGAATAAAATTAATGCGCAAAAAAAAGAAAAAAAAAATAAGGTTTATAAACCATCTTAAAACTCAACATTGATATGATAAGCTAAGAAAAGACTGAAAATCAAGAATTTTTTATTATTATTATTTTTTTTTATAGTATGCTACCGTATGCCAACCATTAAACTTTTGCTTCTTTTAAAAATTTTGTGATTTTGCTATTTAACTGTGTATGGCGTAAGTGCGAAGAAAATATGACTTGATAATAAAGCTAAAAAGAACAAAAAGAAAAGGGGGGGATGTAGCAAGAGTGAGCGCTAGAGCAAACTCATAGACTTCGAGCTCAAGCCTAACAAAACCTTTTTGACGACTTTTCAGATTTTTGTTTGTTTTAGTTTTCTGACATAAATATTATCTTATTCTGTAATCTCTAGATCAGTCACCATTTCATTGTAACGCTAGTCTTTCATAGCGTCTGAAACGTGGTTCATTTAGCAAACTCCTTTAAATGAACATTTTTACTTTAAATAAATGCAGAAATTAATTTTGGAAATTCCTTTGAAGTGTGGATTTGTCCGCCTATAATCACGGCTGGACATCTGCCGTAGCCGTAAAGTTTAATGGCTGCTCACTGCATGACTTTGTCCGACTCCTTTCCAATTTTGATCAAGAGCATCATGAGGGTTGGAATCCAAATTCTTACGCTCCTTTCATCAGCCTTTCGAAAATGTTTCAGTACCGACAAATTTCTGTTTTATTTTTTCCAGGTAAGAAATCGCAAGTCTCCGTATCTTTACAGGCGATAGAAACACACTTTCGAACATTCCATCGACAAAAACATTTGCAGTAATTTGTGGCGAATGAAATATTTCGTTTGTTACCATTTCCTTTTTTGGAAAATGAAAGTTGTAGTGTTTTCCTTCATATGGTAAAAGTTAATCAATCCAAAATTCTTATCAGAAGTTAAGCAAATTATCTTTACGCCCAAAGGTAAATGGACTTTGGATATAAATGCACGTTATTGTGTGAAATAAGTCAGCCACATGTCGTGATGAACTAAAATAACAGTCAAATTCAAACTACTTAAATACTACCTGGCGATGAAACATAAAGCCTGAAGTTCTAAATAACTGGTAAGTTTCATATAAAAACTTTATAATGTTCAGCCATTAATTGCAAACAGATAATAATGCCACTTAGACAGTGAACACGTAAAAATGTTCGAACTCTAAAATTGGGGAGGGAAATGTTATTCTACATATAAAAGTCAAAAATGTTTTATTAATGTTAAACTAAGCACTTAATTATACTATAACCAGTCAACTAAACTAAACTAACAGAAGTAATCAAAAAGAATGAGAGTACATTTTTATTATTATAATGCTATTCCATGTGTACGGGTTTGTAATAGATTGAATGCACAAATCCGATAATAGGTTAATAAAATTTTATTTTTATAGAAAGAAACAGTTCAGAAATCTGGAATTTTCCACAGAAGTACTCGTTCAAATGTTCACAGTATCACACAGTATAATCAGTAGTTACATTTCAAACTACTATGAACGTTAAACACAATGCAATGCAAAGCTCATCTAAAGAGAAAGCTAACTCGGAACAGTTCACGCGGAACAAAACAACTCACAACAGCATTAACTAAGCATCTCAGAGCAGATGTTGTCTCTTGGGGCTTTTAGAGTTTTCAACCGGCCGCGAGATATTTCTAGTACTTTCTGCTTCTCGAAATTACTGGAAAGCAATACCAGGGTGTAATTATGGTTACAGCTAACATAATGGTCAATTACATTTATTCAATTTCAAAACATATTACGGTGATAGAGGGACCGAACCAAAATATCACCAAATCTAGCAATTTTTGGCGATTTCTCGCCAAATTTAACGAAAACATTTGCCAGCTTGGCGATATCTCGCCAAATTAGCCCATTTTCTCAATGTTAAATGCACTTGCCCTTGTACTCTTATTTTTCCAGCATAGCTTTCTCTTAAAATTTGTCTCACGTTACATTATACAGAAAAAAAATACAACACTTTTAATTATAATTCTACTAAAATTACCTATCTAAGCACAAAATTCGTAACAATGCCTTTATTAACTGTTTATATTGAAGGGTTGCATTAGTTGATCTGGCTCCCGTATAAATGAAGAAGCATGAAAATATTATGTATAAAAATATAGTTAATTCCTTACACAGAAAAATAATTTGTGCTGGTGGCACTGCAGCAGCCTTTCTTTCCCAGCGGACCCGCCAGAAAATCTCTGAGAGGAGAGAAAAGTTTGTGACGTTAAAACATGCACGTGATATGCGCCTCTTGTTGATTGGCTGATACGGTGCATCTCTCGGTAACATCATAATAAATAATTTGTGTACTTGTATTTCAGTATTCGTGTAATTTACATTTAATATAATCTCCAAAATAATATTAGGTCTTTCTTATCATAAAATCTTTTTAACTCTAAATTAATAAATAAATAAAGTCTGAAAGCTTTCAGATTTTATATTTTTTTTTTTTTTTCTTTTAACGTTTTGTGTGTTACCTCTGTTTATTAAATATCACGTTCTTCCCATTTAAACCATAAAATTCAATTCAGCCACAATATCACAAAATATTTAAAAGAGCATATCTTTAGAATTCCCGATAGAGTTTCGCGCGCTGGAGATAAAAATGATTTTTCCATGCAATGTTGCCATTGCTCGCTTCGAAATCTTTGACTCTGTTGATCAAAAATTCATTAAAGTTTTACAAGATATGAAACAGATAATAAAACGAAATAAGTCGAAATTCAAAATTCGGGCTTCCACATGCCCATATTCGAATGGAGAACTACGTTATTCAAAATTGGATGTCTCTAGTTACCGTTGGTTTTTCACAGTGCGATAAACATACATACATTCATGTACATTCTTCACTGTTTAATTTCTTTAAATATAGTACAGGGCTCTAATATTCGATGGCAACAAATTAAAAAGTGATTCGCCATTTATAGTGAATGAACGCAAAATTCTAAAACGAAATTAACAGCCTTTCTAGGCTAAAATGTGTGTTTTATATATGTAGAGAAAGAAAAATAAAAAGGGTCAACATTTTCTCTGAAGAGGGTAACTTTCCTGTTATGCAAGCACAGATTGCATTTGGTTATTACTTGTAAGTGAACTTACATAATTATTTGCTGAAGGTTTACGTATTTGAGGGGTTTGAGGAAGTTAACATTCACTGCATTTCTAATGTGCGTGGGTTGGGGTTTAACAGAAAAAATTGCGAAGTAGTAACAGTTCAGTCCACTTAAGTAACGAACACTGCCAAACTGCGAATTTTATCAAAGATCAAGATCATTCTTGTTCCTGATTTCTCGTAATAAGTTGTTACTAAGCAGCCTTGATG